GGTGAAATATATATATATATATATATATATATATATATATATGTAGTTTAAACCATAAAAAGTGAAAAATAATCCTCCCTCCTGCCTACGACTGTCAGGCCTTCAGTCATTAACCAGTTTTTGTATTATCTTTTCAATAGATACCCTCTGTGTTGAGGGATGTATGTGTGTATATATTGCCCCTTTTAACATGAGCGGTAGCATACTATACATGCTGTACCACACCTTGGCTTTTCATCTAATATTCATTAGATCGTATCAGTTCAGGTGATTCTGTCTCTTTCATTGGCTGTGTTGTATTTGGGTATGAGGATGTATGATAATCTATTGAACCAGTTCCTTGGTAGAGTTTTAGGTTGTTTTTTATCTTTCCCTGTAGTGCCTGTCTTTTTACATAGGCTTTTCTATGCCTGTGTGTGTTAAACATAATGAACTATTCTTGTTGAGTTAGCTAATCACAAACAACAGCTTGGAACCTGAACATTGCTGCAGAGTGGAACAAACAGGAATCCTAACTTCTCCAATCCTTTTTCCTCCCCTACAATAGGTGATGCTCAGTAAATACTAGATTCTCTCCGTCTCTGCCTAGGGAAGGTGTCACCGCAAGAAACTCGCGGCTATGAATTTATCTGTTCTTCACGATGGAGATTCTAAGATAGGTTTTTAGAACTCCTGTGATACATAATCAGGCTAAGAGTGGTGCTTGGCCATTTCAGCCTATTTGTTTCCTAGTTAGAAGAAAGAAATTTGGGCCTTCTGGGTGATGATCCTGTTTGTAATTAGCTGTCGGGCAGTATTCCCTCTTGAACCTTAGCTTCTCCGTGTATAAGAAAAGAAGGCTTCACTAAAGTCCTGAAGGACACATGTCCCATCTAAATAACTCTGGGCAATCTCTTGGCTTTGACCTAGTGGTGTTAAATCTCAGTTTTCAAGAAAAGCTGGAAATGCAGATTATGTGGAGACCTAATTTCTAGAAGTTGGAAACTTTTTAAATAGCTCAGTCACCAGTTTGCCATCTCTGAGCAAGCATGATTGTAACATTGTTAGTGACTTGTTCTACATGTATCCAAGTTTGTTGACTGCACTCTGGAAAAACTAAACAAGTTCCAGAGAAAAGGGACAAGTGACATGTGGCAAAGTGACCAGCACACAGTATAACTCAATATGTATATCTTAAGTTATGTAGTGCTGCTATGACAGAAATACCGCAAGTGAGTGGCTTTAACATATATTTTCTCAAGTTTAGGAGGCTAGAAGTCCAAATGTAGGACTCTATGGAAAGGCTTTTCTGTCAGATCTGGAGAAAGGTCCTCGTTGCTTCTGAGCTGCTGCTCCTGCACCATCTTCATGTGGGTTGACATGTGTCTTCAACTCTGCTGCTTGTTTAATCTCATATTTCAAAAGAGATTGACTCAAAACACCCTACCTTAATCTTGCCTCCTGAATTTAACAAAGACAACCCACTCCTAAGTGGGATCATAACCACAGGCATAGAAATTGGGATTTACAGCACATTTTGAGAGGACACAATTTTCAAAATGACCACAAAAGGGAGATATTTGAAGAAATGAGGAGGAAAATGACAAGGGCTTATGTGACCAGCTGCCTCCTGTTGTGCAGAGGTGGAGTTCATGTTAAAGCAAGGTAGTATTTAGGCCTAAGATCAGCTTATTCTTCTACCTGAAAAAGTCTCTGGAAGCTGTATCCTGAGAGGTCCCAAAAGAAGTCTGATCACTTAGCTTGTTCATTGCACAGAGCTAGGTCTAATAGCTTCATAAAAAAACCAGTTGTCGTCCAATCCACTCCAACTTATGATGGCCCCATGCGTGTCAGAGTAGAACTGTATACTCCTCAGGGTTGTCAATGGCTAGCTTTTTTTCCTGAAAATAGAACCCAGGCCTTTTATCCAAGCTATGTCTGGGTGGATTTGAACCTCCAACCTTTTGGTTAGTGGTCAAGCATATTAAGTGTTTGTGCCATTCAAGGACTCGTAAACATCTGTGGGGTGACTAAGCATATGGCCATCTTCAGATTTTTACCTTCCCAAAGATGGGGCAATAGACTCCACACACCAAATGCAGTGAGATTCTAATTTAGGTTGGTATAGTCAGGTGAAAGAACGATTTTTTTTCTTAGTACATGAGGGTGACGTGGAAAGAAAGCAGAATCCTATAAATGT